ACCTGTGGAATATTCACAGTCCACTACGTCTCCTCAATGCACTCATCCATATTTTTGAGATCAATATGATCATTCATAATGGGCACGGAAAGCGTTCAAAGTCATAACCCAAGCAGGAATATGTGAACCTTCGGGTTCGTATTTGCACAGACTATTCAGAGAGGACAGTCACACATGTGGCATGGAAATGGCCCAACAATTCGCCTCGCTTCAACAGCTTCACTTGTTCTCTGCCACAGCACTTTTCTGGCACTATCTAATCTGTTGCGCTCTATCGCCACATGCCCTCCTCATCGGCTCTTACCAGGAAGGTCTTTCAGGGCGTGACGAAGCTTTTTGAAAACGGTCTTTTGCATGATATAGGGGCAGATGCGGGGACCACAGAACCATGTTTAATTTTTCCTGAACGGCCCTCTGAATACCAGAAAAGGGGGTCCCTAGTTCGATTCCTCTTGGTGACAAATTTTTGCATTTCGAGTTGACGTTCCAAAATTCGCGCAAAATGGAGTTCTGATTGTTCTGGTTGGTTCTAACTCCATTTTGCGCGAATTTTGGCACGTCAACTCGAAATGCAAAAATTTGTTACCACGAGGAATCGAACTAGGGACCTTTTCTGGTATTCAGAGGGCCGTTCAGGAAAAATTAAACATGGTTCTGTGGTTCCCGCATCTGCCCCTATATCATGCAAAAGACCGTTTTCAAAAAGCTTGTCACGCCCTGAAAGACCTTCCTGGTAGTCTCCCATGCCTGTAGTTAGCTGCACTGTTGAGCAAACCTTCAACCTGAGCGTTATTTACAGATTCTTTCCCTTTTTCTTTATTGCTGCCCATTTCGCGCCAGTACTTTCGTATTCGTACGCGGAAACCACACCATTTTGATCCGTGCACATGCGGTGAAATGCTGTCGTAATCCTGTGGGTGTGGCATTATAGCGGCTTTGGTTCAGGTGCTGATTCTCAGTAGTAAGCCACCGAGAAATCTATACCTACACACTGCATGTATACAGCGATATGTTAACGGAGAATAACACGGTGCACGTCCAGTAAGCCTACCACTATAAACCTCTCCATCGGAGTCACACCTGCGAACACATGCAGTGTATTTAGGTATCATTTGGAAGGTTGCTGTGCTGAACAGAGGCTTCATGAAGGCTACACTCGCCTCAATGATTCTAGGCAAAGTAATAAACCTGTAATCAATCGCTTTCAGTCGTTCTAGCACTCAAGACCTTCCCACAATGATTCGAAAAAAAGCCGTAGACGAGCTCAAATACCCTGCCTAGTGTTTCACAATACTAAAGCAGCTTTATTACGAGCATTTGCGCTTTTCTTTCTTCCGCTGTTAGTCGAACTAGGAGGAATTTCCATAGAAGTGCGCTGAAAAGCTATAAGAAGTATCATCCCAGGAAGGGCATTCAAAATCGAGTTACAGAGTTTTCCATGCAGAAAGAATTGCATGAGTCGTCCGATTTCGTCACCCGTAACGAAATTGAATTCGCTGAAGTACTCTGGAAACGTCCTTGGCAAATGGGCTCGTAAAAAGCAAGATGCAGGGAGAATATGTAGGTGCCGGATTCACATGTGAGGGCGAGGAGGCCAACAATTAGGGAGGATTGACATGCAGTTGTCACTTATTGCTTCAGGATGTTTCTGAGAGAAGGCGGAATCACAAGATTTAAAAATTTCGCAATTATGGGGCCGAACTGCCGGGTCGTGTCAAGAAGTCGTGGTTTGCTAAGGTTCAGATAACCTAAAGGCCCTTATATTGATAGGCTCGCCCTATTGACAATTTGGCTAGCCAGAAAGGCTTTGAAGCTAGACTCCTGAACTTGGGTACAGGCAAAGAAAGTGGTTAAAATCCCAGGGTTTGAAGCGCTCCTTTCTGGCTGCCCCAGAATGAAGCTGCTGTTTGCACACAGAGAAGCACTAATTTCTTCTTCTTCAGAATCTCATCAGTGAGCGTAGGAAGCTTTCTCTTGACCGCCACAAAGCGATTTGGACAGAAGGCCTCATTAGCTCCCATTCTCTGTTCATTGCCGTCTACCAAAAAAGCTACTTGAGTGCACTGCCATCCGCGCCCAATCTGGCTGCTCGCAGGGGTCGGCATACATTTGGAAACTTGTCTATGGTTCCGATTGGTTATATGGCAAGCTACGGCATAGAGTGGTCGGAAGAAACTCGTTGACAGATTTCGCATTTTGCAAGCTTGAAGTGTTGCTGTAATCTGACAAACTGACACAACGCTGACATTTTTAACGTCAGAGCGATACTCACTGAACCTTCTCAGATGAAATCTGAGCACTGAAAACTCAGTTATTCGGGAGGGGGGGGGCTTGAACAGTTCTATGATAGGCCTTTATTAACCCTTTGACGACCGCCGTTATGAATGCGTCACTTCACTTCTTTCTAAATTTTTTCATCAATAATCATTAACTCTCCAACAATTTCACTATTAGTAATTAGCGCATTATTCCGCGAATTCGATGAATGTATTTGTGTAGTTTTGAAACATAAAAATGCCAAAATAAACCCCTAAAAACGTGTCGCCACCGAGCGAAAGTGTGGCCCACCGGCGGGCCACACGGTCGTCAAAGGGTTAATATCACCCTTTTGAGGCTCTATTGTCAAAATCCAAAAAAAGCACATTATCAAACTAATGCCTGACCTTCGGCATTTTGATGAGTAATAAACAGTTTCGTGTTTGGATAACGTAGGGGCGGAAGTGGTGTAGTGACAAGTGGCGCGCTTACCACGCGAGCGGTCCGGGGATCAAATCCTGGGTCGTGAGTCGCCCGGGCCAACCAAGCCTTCCATCCCTCCGGGGTCGGTTAATTGGTACCAGACTTGTCTGGGAGGATAAAAACACTGACTTGTACATCGGCTGGCCCCCGCAAGTCATTGTATAGGCCACATCGCATTCAAACGCCACTACGAATGTACAAATGGAAGTAGAATGCGTGCCGCATCCCAAAAAGGGATTGATCAACGGCAAATGCTTTATTTTTTCCTTTAATATATAATCTTGCGAAAGATGGTCAGAATTTCATTAGAGATGTTCCTACATAGTTCACTTTTTCACTTGCGCAATTAAATGAGAATCCGTCGAGCTAATGCCACATGTACGTTTCTCTTAATGGCAAACCCAAGAGACACAGTGGACCAATTTAGAAAAACATAATGGAAATGGGTTTATAGATGAAAGCCGTCATAGTCACGCGAACCATCGAATAATTAAGCCATGAATAAACGTCTAATTTTACTTGTCGTCTGGATCAAAATTCTACGGGTTCAAACGGTTAGTCTAAAGGAAATTATTTGAAGAAAAGCAGTTTCGCGTGATGAAATGAGCGACTGCGGTATGAACTAGGACTAGGTTGACGGCCACCAGGTACTAGGTTGACAGCTACCAGAAAAGCCAAAGTATCAAGCCATTTTGCAACCGTTCCTTGGTTGCTCGAAAGCTGTGGTCGGGTATCGAATGATGTGCCACACAAAATTTCCTATTTTCCGTTAATCGCTCTTTTGGTACCATTTGCGCAGCCCATTCAGACACTATGCTGCAAACTTAATGAGAAACTTCGTGTCAGCCTTCACCTTCAATCAATCAACGTGGCTTCGTCTCACAAGCAACGGGCTCTCGAGACTCCCTTTTTCTGCTGATTACTGGCTCATCAACGGCAAACGATTAAAGGTTGAATGCGACGGCTTAGAGGGAAAACGAAAAGCGCTAATTCGTTCGCACTTCGGACGCCTGACGGCCACATTCCCTTCAATTGCTTTTGAGTGTGTAGGTCTCGAAACAATAATTTCGTGTGTTAAGCAAGCCAAATCCGCTGCGGATTCTTTTCGGCAACAATCAGTCGTTCTATGGCCATCGAAGAATTGTTGTGTGGCGTTCATTTCATTAGCGGACAAAGGCCAGCGTCGCTTTGTGAACAGAACTTCGTGAAAGGATAAAGGGAAAAGTGCAGAAGGAAAACCCGACAGATTCCAAAAATATATTCTATAAGTTTATTCGATCGCAACCGGCAGTTATCTGGCGAGTTTCAAAGTATAATCAGGGCCAAATGCGTGGGTGCATCCTTCATGCTGCTTTTCGACATTCTAGAAAAACCGTGAACATGTAAACACTACAGATTCGCATACTGTAAGCACCGCGAGGACTAGCAGTTTAGCCAGCTAAGCTTTTTTCCAAACAAAAACGCTCGATCAATCGCAGAATGGATGTGATCCAATAGCTGTGTTTTCTCATCAGCGGCGCCTCTGCCCTCTAAGCAAGGCGCCTTCTTGGTAACGCCCTTAATTCCACTTTACAGTAGGTGCGCATGCGTTAGCCAAATTCGGACAGGTACGGTCTGAAAATAATTACTTTTAGGTAATTTCTAACCAAAGCAGATGAATAGGATGGTGGAATGAGCAACAAAACAAATGGGGTTGATTGTCCAATTGTAGGAACAAAAGGCAAAAAGCGTAAAGGATAAAGTGCGATCGTGTTATGGGATGCGCTACGTATTCTACTTCCACCACTTCCACTTTACCAATTCTTTCACCTCAGACAGGTCTGCTGCTAAATAACCGACACAGGAGGGAGAAAGATTGGTTATCCTGCACAAGCATTTTGGAGTTGATCCAGGATTTGATCCCCGGGCCGAGCGCGAGGTAGAAAGCGCCACTTGCCACCCTACTGTTTCCGCAGTGGAGAAACACAGAAGACCAGAAAAACCCAGGAGTAGGCCACGAAACACCGGAGAAAGTTCGTGGAAGCTAAGACGATTTGAATAACATTTCCTGTTATTCCTAAATTGATGGATGCTGAAAACGAATGAAAATTTATTTGCAATTATTTACACTTTTATTTTATTAGCAAAATGTTGTAAAGCGGAAAACTCTCAGTGGGACCATAAGCCTCACCATAGCAGCAGCTTCACATAATTGCCTTCACTCACAACATTCGAATTCCAGGTGAAAATGACCTGTCTCCTACGGAATCGTTGGATTCGTCACAATTCGAGCTCATCGCCGGCCAGGAAGATGATCGGCGGATGACCTTTTTCAAGCAAAACGTCTCCAGAGGTTTGTCAAGAATTTTCGATAGTATATTAAAGTTTTCGAATACGCAAAATAACTATCTTAGCCAATGTTTCACAAGAATGCTGGGTTGTGAACAAAACTTTCGCCCCAGGCGGGACTAGAACCCGCACCTCTCGCTTTCCGGGCAAGTGCGCTACCAGTTACGCTACCGGGGCACCATTTCATCCCAACTCAGCTTTTCATGGTATACGTACCATAGCTTTCAGCACTCACACGTATAACGTGTTGAGCCGGTTAGCCGATATCGCGAGGCTGAAAGCTTTAGCAATGAATTTTGACTTGTTTCTGACCCATTCCCTGCCGGCGCTGGATGTGTTTGAGAACCATATGGTCTTTTTAGACTTCTTCAGTACCTTATAATGCCGTTAATAATGTATATCTTATCCAAGTTTTAGGCTAGGAAGATTAGAAATAGCTTGAATGCTAAAGAGAAACCTACTCATTTGGGTCCAAGAAACACTAGCATCACTTTTCAAAATTGGGCTGCTTCGTCCACTTGTGCTTCCGGACACTTGAGCAAGTCCGGAAATGCTGCTCATTACTAATCGCAGCATTTCTTGGGATAGAAGGGTTTTGCGAAAATCCTACTGATGGCATTCCAATCGCGCTCTCACTTTACAACTACAGTAACCCACACGTCATAAGTGAATGTTTTTGGATGATTGGCATTCCTGTGATAATCGCGAAAGGTGTGACCTGCTGGGGTCAGCGTCAGCTGATCCGCAAGGGGTTGTTGATAGCTGAACCACGCATATGGGATTGCATTCTTTGCATACCTGGCAACAACTGACACAACGGCTTTGCAGCCTACCGACCAGGTGATCTTCATTTGATGAATGATCGCCGGCGGGTAAAAACTGGGCACACAGCCTTCCGATCCCTTTCAAACAACACTCAGCCTAGTTTCAGAGACTGTCGACATGGACATAGAGCATTGATTGATCCTTACCCAGAAGCACACAGAAGGTGCATAAAGTTGCACAAAGATGCCGCTCGGGTATGCGCTATGAACAGCGCAAGCCATCTGGGACTTCGGCCATGTGTTTGGGCTGAACAAGTATCGGCCTAATTAGGTGACTCCACGAATTTCGATGTTTTTTGATCCACTCTTGAAAACTCCAATTGCAATATCTTGACAAGATCAACTGCATGACCTCAGCTTCACGCCGAAAGCTCGGTTCACGGTACACTCGTACTTCTTCCACGCCCCTCATTTCTTTTTATCGTGAGATTTATGCCCTTCGAAAGATTCTGATGAGGAAAATCTCATTCAAAAGAATTATACTATTTCTTCCCCATTTGCGAGATTAATTATGTCCCGCCTAATCAACCTCATTCATCTAAACATATGTCCATTTAACGTCACGACGGGCGGAAACGGAATTCCGATTCAACGCCACTGTGATATAGGAGGGGCTGGCATAAAAAGAGCATCATCGATGGAATGCCTATTCTATTTAAAATTGTGTGAGTGGTTGAATATACTGTAACCACAACTACTTATCTGTTATCTGGAAAAAAGAAGAGAAGGGCACGGATCGCCCACCACTGGTAAAAATTTTGGTAGTGCTTAGAAACCGAACGAGATCCCGAACATCACAGGATATTGGTGATAAAGCACTAATTCACAGCTTTAAAGCTTATCAAAAGCGTGTCACGGAGCACACTTGTGAGAAAAAGATAAGACGAAGCCTGAGAGCTTATCAATCCTTTTGGGCTGCGCCAAGCACCTGTCACGTCAACTCGCAAAGGTCTTTGAGGCGATCTAGTCCGCTACAGTTGCGGGAAGCGTGAAGTTCATAATCAGATTCGTTCCCTTCCAGACAAGTCTCGTACCATAAAGCTTCAGAATGACGGCTTGGAATCTGTACTCATTCATAACGCTTAGACATTGCGATCACTCTGGCGCACCGTCAAGTCTGGGGATGCTCTAGCTAGACCTTAGTAATGCAGGAACTACGAAAAAAATGAAAATTGCTCACACGAATACCCGGGTCCTTCTCCTTCAGAGACTTAGATCTTTTTTACCCCCAAATAAAATATTTGGTCCCTGACGTTTCTTGAACTGTCACTACAATCCCATGTCTTGCGCTATTGCCCGATATTGTTGTTATACTTTGCTGATAACCTAAGGTATGCCTTGGAACTGGATAAAACAAAAGAGTTGGATTGTATCGATTTCGGATCCTGGGTAATAACAGCTCGCTTCTCCATACCAAAAGGTCTCACATGTGCTCTCCATTTCGGGAGACGAGAAGAGCGCCGAGGCAGACCACACACCCCAAGGGAACGAGGCCAAAAAGTGTTTCTTAATTTTCTTTCGCGTGCTGTCCCGTACTTGTGTGTGTGTCTGCACTGAGCGCTTTTCTAATTTTCCACAGTAGAGGGTGAACGCAGGGTCATTTCATAAACAGTAAGCAAATAAATGGTCTAAGTTTTGTGAATTTTAGGGCCACTGATGTTGGCGCTGACGTCATCCAAACCATCCTCGGCTCGCTTATTCCTGTCGCATTCTCAGGACGAAATGGACGCCTTCTATCCACCGCTACCGCATGATACTCGTCTTGCTCACGCTGTTTCGAAAGGCGAAAGCTCCGAGACCAATCAGGTGCTCATCACATGGAAGGCCGCTGATCGTGTTAGGTTCGTCTAATAGCCATCGCTTGCTTGGTGTCGGGGTAGAGATCAATTGAGGTACATCATGCTTAATTTGGCCCCGAATAAGTTCGAGGTGAAAATGTTAGTGATTTTTTCTTTCTAAGGTCCCTCCAGGTTGTAGATAGTGGTCGGCTTGGTCAGATTGAAGTCTCGCTCAAACTGCCAAAGTATCAAAGGCTGAAAAACGGCCGTAGATGGTCTCCACCTCCCATGAACGGCGCAAAAGCCTTCTAGAATCGCTCAGTAACTGTAGTATCCATGAACAACGAACATCTCATCGAGCGTTCCCTACAAAGTAAGCTGCAGAGTAGAGTTTCTTCTCAAAACATATGCGTTATGCCTTACCTTTGTGGTCCTTGTTGAGTCAGTGCAGGCAATCATTCTCGTAGGACCCTTAGGTTGTATTGGAAGCGAACGTAGGCAGTTCGGCTAGAAGTTACTTACTCTGATAATCCGGGGTCATTCCCAACACAATGAGGGGGAGAATCTGTGAGAGATGAAGGCTGGTGGCAGCTTTTGTAAGTGATGTTTATCCAGTGACAAAAATTTCATGTCAATCCATTAAAATTCCGCCTTCATGGTTAAATGGAAGTATTCTCATAAATTCAGGTCAGCAGAAGCGCATCGTTACCGCTTTTGCGCAATAGTCTCCCGACGCGTACCCGACTGGGCAGTATGTGGTGAGCTGAACGAAGGCTTGGAATCGATTCACTGCGTACCACAAACCAACAATTCGATGATTTGCAGCATTTAGGTACTCGACATCCGGATCGATACGAAAATGTGGTTGCGATGTTTACACGAGAGAAAATAATAGTGAACGATAGTGTGTTTCAGATCTGGAAAACGTTATTTCATTACGTTATTCGTGCGAGATTCACTTCATGGTAGTACGTCGTCGTACGAAACCCTTGAGGTGAATTTGAAGAGAACGGTCGACAACAGTAGTCAGGAGGCGAAAAAGGACGAGGTGAGGCTTAACAAATCTTACCCCATCGTAAGTTTGGTAGACAAGAGAATGTTCGATGCCTATGCGCTTCTTTTCCTTTCAGCCGTTCACCACTGTAAAGCCTAATCGAGGTGTGGGCGGAAAACGAGTGAAGCACAATAACATCTCCGTAACAGTATTCCCTGACACCTTCGAAATTCAAAAAGTTGAAGACGCTGTGGGATTGTATCTTTTTCGTATTTTGCTGTACTCGTACGCTTCAAGCGTCCTGGCAATTCGGATTTAAGCAATAGCACTTCCGTAATTGAAAAAATACATAAAGTTTCCTCGTTCAGACGTATCCTGTAACACGAAGCTGAATCCAAAGGGTATCTACCAGTATAGGAAAAGTAACAGTAAACAAATTATAAAACGACTAAAAAGACGCGAGTTTCGACTTTGAGTCATTTGTGTTTTTCTTTTGTTGAAGTTTTTGAGGAAGTTTCATACGAAGGTCGGCAATAGAATTTAAGGCCAAAACAGCCTCACTCATATGTGTTCCGAAAATTCCCTGCGTTTATACTACGCTTACAGGTACAATCGCTCCACAACGCCGTTCTAGAATCCGGTAATCTGCCACCCAAAAAGAGTTCAACACTCGATTACCAGTTTATCGTGCCGTCTAATACAACGAAGAGTAATAAGGTGAGTTTTTCAATCATAAGACAATAAAGGATCGAGTGATAGATCTCTCACTCGGATACGCCACGCACTCTACTTCCCTTTCTTCCCCTTCATAGCAGTAGACCCATTCCAATGTTGTGTATAGAATGCTCGTGAGAAGTCAACGGATGATAAAGCTCGGGCGTTTCACTCATTTACCACTTCAGAGAACGCGTGCCCAACTCTATGAGTCTAACTTGAACCCAGCAACCTACAGGGGGACAAAAAAGGCATCTTGCCCAGATCGCACTTCGCCCTTTTTTCTTCACAGAGATTGCCGTCGTTGACGGAAGTTCCTCAGCAAAATATCCCCTAAATGTCCCTCTATAAGTACACGCAGGCCCTCCTTCACTACCCTCACCGTCTTCAGAATATGACGTCATCTGTCACCGTCGTCGAGCTCAGGGAGGCCTACAGTAACTGCTTCAGCCTGAAGCTCTTACATAATTTCTTGGATCGATTCAACGTGGGATAGTTTCCTAGGGACATTAGCTCTAACTATGAACCCCCTCGAACCCGCCCTTCGGAACCCGTCGTAACGGTACACGATCAGTCGAGAACCCCACTGAGCTCGACCAGAGCACCATGTTTCCAGGGCAAACTTTTCTGATGCCGTCCACGTAGATGGCCACTATGAAGATTTTCTTATGAAATGAAATGCGCTCTTCAATTCTAAGTTGGGAGCACACGCTTTGAGCTGAGCAAAGTGTGATTAAATCCATTTGAGTCTGGAGACAAAATGTCTTTTTATTGCCCCCTCCCCTCGTAGGATTGTAAAGCCATATTGCACGTCTACGCCGTGACATACTTTCCCCAGTTGGTCACTGCGCTGATGTCGTCTGTTTTTACAATGGTCAGCAAGGATACTGCTGCATTCGGCCTTTCAAAGTCTTACTGTAAGTCGCTCCGACCACCAGCTTAGAAAGGGACTTTACGTTTTCCGCCCCACCCCCTTCACTTCTTGAAATAACTGCGTTGTTTTTCATCAAGAACACGTTTTGACAGCTCTGCGAGTGATTTAAACCGCAAGCACGTTGGCTACTGTCAGACCCCCTGCGGCTGTTTACGAGCAGGGTCTCTCGAAATACGGTACTTACGACTTAGTAGTCGTTTTTATTATCCAGCAATATTAATGAGCAGCTTGAGAAAAGCACCTGCTTGAAGGGAACGCTCCAAAACATCGAGATCGAAAACATACGTTCGGGTTACTGAAGTGAGCGCCACAACAATTTAATTGGAAAATACTTGTTTTTAGTAATTATCAAGCTTTTAAAAGCAGCGGGGCGCTTGACTGTCTCTTATGTGGGTTTACAAGAGTTCTCAAGGTTCATTTCAATGCATCTTTGGACTGTAGAAGTAAAGTGAACTTTAAACGATTTGTTCACTGGAAAAACCTTGCCTCCATTCTCACCAGAGGTTCGTACCTCAGTCCCCCTACTTCGTGAGGATAGCAAAAAGAACGAAGGATTGGCGTCAGTTTGATCCAAATCCGAACAAGTATTGAGGCTACAAAGGAATTTGAATTCCCGCCGTAAAACTGTCACAACTGTTGGCGTCGGTGAGCCAACAAGTGGAAATATTTTAAAAGCGTAAAGGTGTAACGGGTTTCATGTCGGACCTTCACTGTAACTTACACGGCTCCGCAAACTTCATCACAAAAGCATTTCCGGTCCCACTTACCGTGGCACATGCCGGCCAGCAAATGAACGGAGGGCGATTTCTTCCGTGGACGATTTCTTTGAGCAGTTTTCACACGCCCTACTAGCATAGTACGCCGAAGTCCTTGTCTACATTGCTGCAAATCTTTTTGATAAGCGCTTTACTTGAACGGTTGTTGACGCCTTCTTAATTTTGTGGATCTAGCCAGAATGGTATCGAAGGCGAATTCCACGATGGGGAGGGAGCGCGGGGGGGGGGAGACTCTCGAGTCGAAGATTCAAACGATCCGCAAATCTAGGGATTAACTTGGAAATAGGACTACATGAAATACTGCAAAAGGCTTCAGAGTTTTCTAATCTTTCTAAATTTATGGTACTTGAATGCGATGCCCTTCTACTTGAAGTTCTGGTAGCGGATAGTTACCGGCAATAAAACAAAGTGGTCGATGGTCACCCAAGCCTACTGTGGTCACATTTTGGCCACGTGGGCTCTGAAATATTCCTATTCTCTCGCGATCGCCGTAGAACTCCTTCCGCTATGCGAATGCGTCAACGGATTCCGTAAATATGCACGTCGCATTCCGCAGCTCAAAATAGCCGTCGACCTACGTCAATGGCATGTCAGCTGTTGGCTGGAAACCTCAAGCCGATGCGGTGTTGTAATGCGAAAGTATTTCCTGTTCCAGCCAGCAAAAACGGGGTTTGGCTTTTGCAGGGCCACATTTGCGGCTTTACTGCTCCACATGCACTCTATCTATGGAAAGAATTCGAAATATAAGGAATCCAGAGTTCTCCGAACCTCTTTTTAGGTACACATACCTTCTACTCGCAAATTATTGCTGTAATGGCATTTAAATGCAATTTTTCCCACTTTGGGGAACAATGATTGCTTTTACCCACCAAAACGAGGTTTTCGGTGTGGGACCGCCAAAAATGTCATAATCTAATCCTGCCTATATGTACTGAAAAGTTTCAATACTGTATCATTCGTTGGTGTTCCACGGATGCAGACAATTGGAATAGTCGCTTAATTAGGTTCTAGGATGTCCGCTCGTTGTCTGGGCAGCGCTGTATTTTCAAAGACAAACCTACTATCAGATCATTAATGTGGTAGTTCAGTGGGCTGAAAGATCAATTTCTGTGGTTCAGAATTATAGCGCAAGTTCAGCCGCTGCGCCATTTCAGACCGTTTCCGTGAAACCATAAATTTTTGCAGTAACTTGTTCCAGATAAATGAAGATAGGAAACGGATTTTGGATTCTCGTCCATCTGGCACGTGAATTGTCTGAAATCTGGAGGGGATTGTCCCAACAGATCAACATGTCATTCGCTGAACACGCTGGAGTTGTGCACGCCTACAAATAATTGGAGCTCTGCATTATTGCGGTGCGCAACTGAATGCAGGCGATCTACCGGTGCGCGGCACTTACGGCTATTTTCACCCCAACTTTTAGGGTGCCCACACGACCAACCGGGTGATCTTGCACTCGAAAATGAAAGCGAGGATGGATCGGTAGTGAATAAAAACTGAGAGAATCTGTCAAAAACAGAGAATGTGAGGGCGCACTCATAGCTGTGAATTGGCTATGGGAATGCGATGAGACACTGAGCACAGCAAAGAGAGGATAGGCGAGAAAACACAAAGAATGAGAGGTCAGAGACACCCGCGCATTGTTGTCGATCGAAGCAGTCTCGGAAGTACCCCAGCACCACTGCCGCGCGTTTTCGAACCAGGAGAGTGGGAGAATAGTGGTCCTGTGAAGAGCTCTTCCTTCAGACTACCTCTCGAATGCCTTCCTTCCTGCACACAAAAGACAAAAAAACACATCCAAAATTATTGTGGGATGTGCTTTGGACACAGACCCCCTTCCGAAAAAAAGAAACGTTTTAGAAAGGTCGCGGGATTTCCTATTGAACACAATAAATGATCTCCTGCCAGCAGATAGACCGCAGCTACCGATATACCGCATACCGAATGCATTCACTCTACTACGTGACCAAGTAGTTTGAGTGAGAGGATTTGCAAATAAAGATTTGCACTTCCGAGCAACAACTATGGACCATCAGGACATGGAGAATCAATCTCCTACTTTTTCAGGTACTACTCATCGTGCATGCCTGCGAAGGGTACGTGCGAATGTCGGTGTATCGGAACGGGAAACTGTTGAAGCGAAGCGAACCGTTCTCGGGTTTCAGACGGTATGTTCATACATTTATAATCACACATCCATTTTCATGTGATTTATGCACAATACCCCACAAGAGGGATTCACCTAAGATTCCTATAGGGTAATATTGAACGCCCTCGGCCGATTGTTGATTATCGTACACGGTGGCTGAAATATTTCCCGTTTCAGTTTCCTCGTCGTGAACGTCCACTCAGGTCAGCTTCGTTTCCAAATTAGTAATGATGACGCGAAGCCGAAGACCGTCCACCTTTGGGCGAGCACACAGGCCGACCAATCGCCATATCCGAAACTGCCTGAAGACACAAGGTTTGTTTATCATACGGTTCATCTCCATGAACTTTGGAGTACTGCGTGAGCAGCTCTATGTATTGTAGAAATGGA